CTTAAACCCTAAACCCCAAAGCCTTAAACCCTAAACCCCAAAGACTTAAACCCTAAACCCCAAAGCCTTAAACCCTAAACCCTAAAGCCTTAAACTCCAAAGCCTTAAATCCTTGCACAGACCCATCTCCTGGATGCGTACACCAGTCCTCGGGATGGTCGTGAAGCCCGGACCTACAGGACCCGGTGCAGGGCTTCAGGCTCTAGGGTTTAGGGCTTGATCGACCCGTCTGTCAGGGCTTGCGGTTTAGGGTTTTAGGCTTCGAGGTTTTTGGGTTTGGGGTTTAGGCTTTCGTTTTTTGTGCGTGTGTAGGCGAGTATGTTCTCTCTTCGCTCGCGCGCGCGCGCGCGGGTGGGTGGGTGGGTGGGTAGGTGGATAGGTAGGTAGGTAGGTAGGTAGGTAGGTAGGTAGGTAGGTAAGTGGTTGGTAGGTAGGTAGGTAGGTAGGTAGGTAGGTAGGTAGGTAGGTAGGTAGGTAGGTATAGACGGTATAGATATATAGAAAGATGGATGGATAGATAGATAGAAAGATAGAAAGATGGAAAGAAGATATAGGTTCGTTCGTTGGTTGGTTGGTTGGTTGGTTGGTTGATTGGTTGACTGTTTGATGCTTGCTTGGTTGACTGATTGATGGTGCACAGAAGCAGGGTTTTTGAAAAGCTTAAGGGATTTCTCGTGGGGTCAGGTACATCGAGGAAATGGAGAGAATGGCACTGAGGCAGCATGTCGCCACACCTACCGGCAACAACTGCACTGCACAGTCGGCTCGTTCTGGCTCGTTATGCTACACCTCATTGCAGCAAGCACAGGACAGAGGGTTGAGGGAGCAGAAGGCAGAAGCAGTGCTTTCGTTCTGTGGTTTGCATGCACCGGCATCTGTGTGTGCACGTACCTCAGCAGCCGTGGGTGCTGCCTCAGGTTGCCCTGACGCAGCTGCACGCCAATAATGGGCCGTCGGGGCCTCGCGATCCCCACTCCGCAGCTGCTTCATAAACTCAGGCGCCTCCGAGCCTCCGAGTCTACATTCCCACATGGTTTTGCCAGTTTCCTCACGGCCCCTCCTGTAGACTCCTGGAGCCCTTGGTCCCTCACCCGAAAGCACTGAGCCCCTAGGCCTTGAACTCCCCAAAACCTCCAACCCCAGAAGCCCCGCCCTCAATTCCCTCAATGGTAACAAACCCTGTAACCCTCAATCCCAAACTCCTACGGCCCTGAAGCTCTACATGGTGAACTCGCTCTGAGGCTGGCCTACGTCCCCGGCTCCCATCGGATGTTGACCCCAGGCTTTGAGGTGGTGGCAGCACCGCCGCTCGGGTCAGTGCCGTGGCTTCAGGGATGTTCGGGTTTAGGGCCCTAGACCCTAAACCCTGAACCCTGTTTTCGGTTTTGGGGTTCGAGGGCCTTGGGGCCTTGGGCTTAGGTGTTTCACGGTTTTTAGGGCTTCAGTGCTTCAGCGATTCAGGGTTTAGGACTTCAGGGGGCGTTGGGGTTTGGGGCTTGAAGGGTTTGAAGGGCTTAGTTTAGGGCTGGCTTCAGGGCTTTGGGGAGGGCTTGCAGTTGTTAAGGACAGCTTCAGGTATGTAGGGCGTACTGCAGTTTTAGGCCCGAAACCCTAAACCCTAAGTTGAACTACATGGTTTGAAGGGGCCAGGCCTTCAGGGTGTAGAGTTTGGGGGGCCTCCAGGGTTGAGGAAGGAAGGCTTGTAGGGTTTGAAGGGTTCGGAGCTTTTCGGCTTCAGGGGTCTGGGGCTTCAGGGCTTCTAGGGTTTTGGGTTTAGGGGCCTAGGGGTTTAGGGGTGCAGGGGTTTAGGGTTTTGCGGTTTAGGGCTTAGGGGCTTGGGTGTTTAGGGGTTTGGGGGTTTCGGGTTTAGGGCTTGAAGGGTTTAGGTTAGCGCCGGGGCTGGGGACGGCTTGGGATGCTGCCGCACGGTCCAAAGCACCACCTAGCGGCAGAAGGACACTTCTGCAATTGCTGTCGGTAAGAGACTCATATATTTATTCCTTAGGGCTCCTTATTAGACTTATAGTATAATGGACCCCCAAACCCTGCCCCTACATTACCACCTTCTCTTCAAGGGGCCTGGAACGGCTTGTCTAAGACCTTCACTCTAAGTGTCGCCTTGCCTGGCGAGGTCGTGCTATACGATTCCTTCTGTGAGCATCGTGGCATCGAGCATCATGGCAACAAAGATCGGCCGCTTGACAGGCAAGTGCTTGGACTCTTTGACATCTTGAGCTTCCCGGGAGGCAGTTCCCTAAACCCTTAAACCCTATACCCTAAACCCTAAACCATAAACCCTAAACCCTAAACCCCTAACGTTGGGCTCCTAGAGCTCTTTGCCCGAGGTATGCCGTGTACTACGAGTTCGAGACTCGTGGGGTCTTCAGCGGCTATACCGCCGCACACTTCGGCCCGGAGTCCGAGGCGCACATGCGTGTGGCGACCTCAGAACCACTGCAGCTCAGAAAATATATAATGTATAGTATATGATATATAGTATATAACATATAATATATAGTTCTCCCGCATGCCCCGGTACATGGAAGTCATTCTCCGACTGGCTTTTGGTCGTGTGGCCATACATCCGAGGCCTTCCGGGACTTCGTAGACCCAGCACTTCGTGGCTGGGTGCAGCGAGTTGGCGCTTAGCGCGTTGCCGCATTGACGGTAGTAGGTAGTAAGTAGCTCATCGACTTGGTTTGCTACCTGAGATCACCTTGGCAGAATTGCTTTCAACAGACATGAACGCAACGAAGCGCACACAGCAGCAAACCCAGTCGCTCTGTGTTCCGCTGGCTGGCCGTTGGCCAGCTGGCCACAAGTTTCTTTAGTGGGCAGCGGTAGACTGAGTTCGACGTGTCGGACGTCGTCACTTCTGCGAGATGTCTTGCGTCCGCCACCGTGTCTGCTCAATCTGCGCCTTCGAGTGTCTGCTCTTGCGGATGAAAACTGCGACCGCATGATACGCTGACAAGTCTTCAACATATAAGTAGACTAGTAACAACAATCGCACGGTGATAGTCACGGACGGTATTGGTGCGGCAAGAAGAGTACGGTAATACTAGGAATAGCGGTCGCAACTGTAGCTGTGCCAATATAGCGGCAATATCGAAACAGCAGCGAATTGAATCTGTATGATGATTGCTGCAGCCAGCATGCCGGTTACAGCGGCTACAATCATGATTGTCTTTGTCACTGATCTAAATATTTCTCATCTTTAAAGTTGCATATAATGGTGATTAGTAATCTAAGTTGGATTAGTTGTGATGATTGTTTGCTGTTACTATGCTGCTGCTGCTGCTGCTGTTGCTGCTGCTGCTGCTGCTGCCGCGGCTGCTGCTGCTGCTGCTGCTGCTGCTGCTGCTGCTGCTGCTGCTGAGTAGTATTTCGAGTACTGCTGTTGCTTTTATTCTTAGTGTTGTTATTGTTCTTGCTAGTGCAATAACAATATTCCCATGATCATTGTTGATATGATTGTTGTTATCGCTATCACTAGTATTGTTCGCATGGTCATTCTTAAGTTAATATCTCCATTAGTCATGCTTCTTATCATCATTTTTGCGGGCTAACTACTGGGTTTTTCATCTTGCCAATGTCACTACCAGTACCGCTGTCAGTATTAATACTGTTAACGTTAACATTATGCGTTACAGTACTGAGATTTTCCTGTTGTCATCATCATCATCACAAACATCAGCATCAGATTCAGACTCATGACCATCATCGTCATCGTCACCATCATCATCATCATCATTCTCAGCCTCTCATCATCATCATCATCATCATGATCATCACCAACATTAAAATGTTTGCTACGCACCACACTGGGACTGAGCTTGCGTGTTGCAGGACATCACAGGGAGCGCCAAGTCCTCCCTGGCGCTGCTGTTTCGAGGCTCCGAGGCGCAAGTTCACTCACAGTCCCATTGTTCTTCGCATTCATACTTATCTCGTTGTCGCTCTGCACTGAGTGAGTGCGTGAGTTGATACTCCGGCCGGACGGAAATGTGCGCTCCCGCCATCTCTGCCCCCCCTCCGACGCTCCGAGCCCCTTTTTCCAAGCAGGGAAGCAGGGACAGGTGCTACCGGAACCTCCATGGGACCCACCCCCCCAAGCTGCGCGGCTTGGATTGGATTTGGGCACTTGGACAGCCCACTTCGCAGGAACAGAAGCTCTTCCCGTTGCGATCCCTCACACGGGTACGAAGCTGGGCGCACTGGCTCGGAGAAAGGGCTTCGGGTGCGGGGTGGCCGAACCAAACACGCACACACGCACCGGCAGCAAGACTAAGGGAAAACGCACGCTCAGCTGATTCTTTGTTGGCTGCGCAAACTCAAACGGTATTGCCCTGGCGTGTGGGGCAGTGCCTGCTGCTGAAGGCACCACCCCCGACCAGAAGGGGGGGCATGAAACTACTTGTTGCTGTACTATTGCTGCTGTCGATGGTGATGGTGATTGTCCAGTGACGGTGATGGTGATCGTTCTCGTCGTTGTTATGACAGATTGTTGTTGTTGTTGCTGTGGTCGTCGTCGTTGTCGCTGTTGTTGCTGTGGCGGTCGAGCCATTTTTCTTGGTTGCTCCCTAGGGCCTGCGGGGTAGAAGCTTTCACAGTAGGTTGCTCCACGCCTGTAAGGAGAATCTGAGCCGTAAAGCGGCGATTGTGGTTTGCAGGAGAACAACCGACTTCTCGTCGAGTACAGCTTCGCTGTCTGGGCCGACAAGGACACCTGCTGAGGATGTTCCTCAAATGAACTGGATGGCTGCACACACACATACACACTCACACACGTTCGCAAACGAGTGTCCGTTTTTCGGACTATGGCCATGGCATTTCTCAGTGATTTGAGAACCATTGCTTTGTATTCGGAGTGTTTGTACGTGGGAGGTGCGCAACGCACGGAGCCGTTTGTCCAAGATCAACGCAGCTGCTTGGATGCAGTTTTGGAGCATGACGAAGAGTCTCGATGCTCCCTCTTCACAAGTTTCCAGGGTTGTCCAACGCGAAGCAAGTTTTGATTTAACGAACTATAACGAACTGCTCATAGGTTGGTATGTATGGGCCCAATAGCTGGTTCTGATTGAATTGAATACCCTGCTCATCAGTAGGCTTCTTAAAGCATGGGCCTCCTGGCGTATTGAAGCTTGGGACTATTTGGCTGATTCATCGAGTTGCCCCTGGCCCTCCCACCTCGACCAGGCTATGACTATGGGGTTTCAAAATTCATACATGAGTGGCTTCTGGTTCTGGTGTTCAGATTCTCCAGCATGCCTCTCTCTCTCAGGGTGCATGCCACTAGACACAACCACACATGCGCAAGCAACAGCACACAAAAACACAGAAGTAGGTGCATGCATGATTAGATGCATACATACGTCTCTATATAAGACATGCATGGTATGCATAGATAAACCAGTAGATGTATGTATGTGTGTATATTTCTATATATGTCTACACGCGCAGGGCGTGTGTTTACTATTTCGTCTTCGTCTCCTTGTGCCATAGGGCATGCATTACGAGACCGTGTTCACCTAGGCTGCATAAAGGGGAGTTTGGAGGTCTAGATCTTCTGGCTTGTTCCGCAGCAAAGAAGCCCAGCAGGTGGTGGCGATCCTCGGCGGTGACGAGCGAATCCTTGTGCGGACGGCCTTCGCCGTCTGGTTCCTGGCATGTCACCGAGAGATGTTCTGCATGTGATGGTATCTTGCCCGTCCTCCAAGGCCTAAAGGGAGATCGGCCTAGTCTCCGGCCATTCAGGAACTATTGGTAGAAGTTGTGCTAAACTAGTGCTTTTGATTGAGGTGCCTGCTCAAGTCGGTAGTTGTTCGTGACTACAGAGACGCTTAGCGAGACCATCGCAAGCCCCATGAAAGTGCAACGGTTGAATTGGATGTAGCAGCTTGTGATAAGCAACTCTAGTAAAGTATTTGCCTCGAAATCAGAGGCCCCAATGCTCACAGTGTTTGTGGACACCAAATCCTGGAAATCTTCAGTGGGAATCCTCGAGCTCAAAGCCTGCGCTTTCGGCCTCAGCCGTCGACAACAACCGGAAGCCCGAATCCCTGCCCACAAAGGATCAATTACTTTATCGTGGCTGGGGAATGCCCCCTTGTAAGGGACTGCCCTTCGCGGCGATGCTATGATCAAAAAAGGACTTCAAGGGAAGAAATCGCCCACACGCTGTTTTAGAATCAGCAGGAGAGCTCCCGGTACTAGGAGTCGTAGGAGCGATGCTTGCAAGCTCTTATGGGATCTCGTGGAATCACTCGGATCAGAATGCGTGGGGAGTTCTTTAGCATCCCCGGTTTCTGCTTAGGTCATCGTCAATCTGCACAAGTTATTATAGCTAGGGACGATATTGCATGCACGCATACATACACTTACGGATATCCACATACATGAGTACATGCATGCATACCTATCTATACATGCCGATGAGCACGTTTGCACACAAAAGATACATACATACATACATACATACATACATACATGCATACATGCATGCATACATACATACATACATACATACATACATACACACACACACATACATACATACATACATACACACACACATGTTTCTC